ACATTATCATCATCTGGTCGATTATTATTTGATTGCAATGAATTGCGTCCCATTTGAGTGTATCGTGCATCTTTAAGCTTCCATGGTGTATCTTTGTTATAATACACATTATCATCATCTGGTCGATTATTATTTGATTGCAATGAATTGCGTCCCATTTGAGTGTATCGTGCATCTTTAAGATTCCATGATGCATCTTTGTTATAATACATATTATCATCACCTGATCGATTATTTGATTGCAATGAATTGCGCCCCATTTGAGTGTATCGTGCATCTTTAAGATTCCACGGTTTGCTATTACGATTGGAATCTTGAAAATTAGAATTATGATTCGAATCTTGAAAATTAGAATTACGATTGGAATCGTGAAAATTAGAATTACGATTGGAATCGTGAAAATTAGAATTACGATTGGAATCGTGAAAATTAGAATTACGATTGGAATCTTGAAAGTTAGAATTGCGATTTGAATCTTGAAAATTAGAATTACGATTCGAATCTTGAAAATTAGAATTACGATTCGAATCTTGAAAATTAAAATTACGACTCGAATCTTGGATATAGGAACTGTTGTAGTTATTTTGCTGGTTACTATTGTGTGGCTGCTGTTGTATCTGGTTATTTGTAGGCGTAATTCTTCTTGATGCTGGAGAACTCGGTTTTGACATTGGTCCTTTTATGTTTGGTGCTCGATCATTGTTATAAAAGTTTTGTATATTATTATTACTTTTTAGTTTAGTATTTAATTGTAGTTGTAGTTGCGGTTGTTGCGAGAAATTTTGTGGTGAGCAAGTTGGTTGATGATTATTGGAAATTGGTGATATTAACATGTTATTGTGGTTGTTATAGTTTTGTGTTGATTGATGATCGGAGACTGATGTGTTGTTATAGTATTTACCGTTTTGCGCTGGTTGACGATTGATGATAGGTGATGACGATGTGTTGTTGCTGTTTTGTGTTGGTTGGAGATTGGTGACAGGTGATGACGATGTGTTATGATGAGTGGTGATAGGTGATGACGATATGCTATTGCTGTCATGGCTGTCGTTGTGTGTTGATTGATTAAAATTACTGGGTGTTGGTGGATTAGAATTTGGTTTCATATTCTGTATCATTTGATCAAGTGATTGTTGTATAATAGAGTTCGATAGACCGTTCGGTTTTGCATAAATTTGACTATCTAATTCAAATAGTTCAAGCCTTTGCTTTTGTGATAATGTCTTTTGTTGTAAAATAAATGCAACAGCTTGATTTACTTGGTCTTCTTGATCATGTGGATCATGTTGGTCTTCTTGATCATGTTGGTCTTCTTGATCATGCTGATCAGGTTGATCATGTTGATCATGTTGATCATGTTGATTTTGTTGATCATGTTGATCATGTTGATCATGTTGATCAACTTCATATAAATCAGAATCTTTCTGTTGTTGTTGCCTCTGGTTTTGCTTAATAACTTGACAAGCATTTGGGTCTTCGAAATTTCTTGTGGAATCTCCAAATTTCAGAATTTGAGGACTGACTGTTTCCGATTCAGACTTTGTATCGCCAAGCAGTCGACGTAGATAATTATAATCCGGATCTTGGGAAAATGATAGGGTCCTAGCATATGTAATGAAATCGTAATAGCCTCTTGGAAGTTCTGCACATAATCTCTCCAGTGGAAAATCGTCTTTCTTGTTACATACTTTCTCCCATACTTCTTCTGCAGTACGTCCTTTAATTCCGGTCCATGGTAGTTTTCCTCTTATCAAATATATGAAGAGATACCCTAACGATTCCAGATCATCCCGTCTGCTATGCGAAACCCCTTTGTGAACATTAAGGCTGACAAAAGTATGCGTGCCTTTTTTGCATGAGTCTCTATTATAAGGGACGTGATTTCTTGTCTTTGGATCTAGATATATATAAGATGATCCGAAATCAATTATTGATACAGTGTGTTTACTCTGATATAGTAATTCAGTGTCGGGTGGCTGTTCTTGGTCAGAGTCTAAATATTCAGGTAGTTTGAATTCATATTCCAAAAGAAAATTCTCAGGTTTTACATCTCTGTAGACAATACCCTCGCGATGGACACACTCCATGATAGTGACCTATTAAAGAAACCATTTAGTATACTGTTGATGTATATTAGTTATATAGTAGCAGATTAGATTATACCCTGGATGCATACCATTTGTATCGCAAGATCTTGAACAATTGGTAAAGGTAATGTTCTAAAAACTTTTATAACCTGCTTTAGTGAGGGTCCAAGTAAATCCATGACACATACACGGAATACGTCATGTTCCCCATACCAATGAACTTTTGGGACAAAGTCTGAAGAAAACCATAAATACTTAGTATCATTATTTTAATTATTAGATTATTCGATTGGTAACACGTACAATAAGCTTGCAACGAAAGTAACAATTTGACTTCATTTTGCAAACTAGGACATATACTGTGAATATCCTCTCGTTTCGCTGCGTATCCTTTTTGGGTTTCGTTGTGTATAACTATAGGTGGAAAATAATGGAAAATATTATCAATGTTACATTTCGTTATTGAGAGCTCATACTTGTATGTCAAGAAAGATAATTTCCAAATCATTTTTCCTTTACCTCGATATACCACGCCAGAGGCGCCTTTACCGATTCTATATTGGACTGTCCAAGTTCCGTTGAGTATAACGAGATCGACCATATTACTGTATGCTATGTATGATAAAATGTATCTAGAAGTACAAAATGACGCAACAACGAGGGATTGTGCGCGGCGTTTGTAGTCTCTTCACGCCTTAACGTTCGAAAAGTCAAAAATTAGATGGTGACACCCTACGTGGAAAAAATATGAACTATGGTGTGTCAAGATCTATGCCAATCATGTGATAAATATTTATTTTAACCCACTGACTAATTTAATGTACAAAATATCAAGTATAAAATAAGACTGAGGTGGATTATTCAGCTGATGATAATTATATGGGTGGAATGAATAGAGCAAACCAATATCTTCCGAAATGTTCTTTATATCTGATTTTTCATTGGGTGTCTTCTTTAAAAGAAGACAAATACAACATCCAGTATTGGCAGAAAATTCGCGTAAACTCATAAAAACCCGCTCATAATTTTAATAAATAAATTCGATATATGATGAGAGCTAAATATCCTTTTTAGATTCATCTTCTTTGTCTCCTTGGTAGCCTAGATCTTCATCGACATCCCTCACTTCAACACGAGGAATTGTCGCGTTTGTTCGACCTGTTAATTCTGAAAAAGGTTTGTTTCTTGGCAATTCTGTCATCGCCTCAACACGAAATGATTCACCGGGAGTCCCACCAACAGAACTGGCACGACTACGTGTTCTTGACGTTTGTCCGCTGGCAGCCCAAGAACTAGTTCTACTACGACCAGTCACACTCCCATTTTGTTTATCCATGAAAAAGAAAACATCATCGCATTCGGAATTTGCAACTGTTTCCCAATTGAAGACTTGATCATCTAGCCAATTAACCGGTGAATGGAACAAACTTGTATTGTTTGACGTAGTCGAGGATGATAGTGGTCTTTCAGCTTGCACAATACGTTCCGCGTCAAAATCAGCATAGATTTTTGGTCCCAACTCATTGATCAACTCCGTAAGATCATGTGATAGTTTTTCGCGGACTTCACTAAGATTCTGTATATCATCTCTTCTACCAGGTAACAAAGATAACAAAAGAGGTTTTAGAGATCTAAATAAAATTATTAGTCAAAATTAGTAAATATCAATTATTTGAATCTGTTTTAATATTTAATGATATCTCTTATTTCTTACTTCTTTATATCAAGACCAGTCTCAACCAAACGTATAGTTGTATAACTTCCTACTGACATCAAGAAAAATGATAAAATGGGACCAAATATTTTCCATTTTGTAGGCCAGTTATATTTAACAGAGATGCCAAAAACAATAAATGCGTAAAAGCCGTATAATATAGGAGTGAACACTAATGCCACAAGAAGTTTCCATGTTGCAAGAACATCACGCCCAGCTACTTTGACTGACGAGGCTTTGACTGCTTCTGTTATATGAAAAAAATATCAGATCACTAATTGCGCTAATGTTTATAGTATAACCGAAACATTTCACCCACCCACCTTTGGCTTTTTTACTAGCAATAAGACGCGCAACTACAATTATTGGTAGATTCAATACGAAACTAATGTGTGTAAAAAAAAAAGAAATTAAAAAAAAATAATATTCAATTATAAATCGAGCATAATAGCAACTGTATATTAAATACCCAGGCAGTCCTAAAACACTCCAAAAAAATAACAAGAAAACTCGATATATCAATAAACCAGCGGATCTTCTTCCGCCTAAAACTTTTTTATTTACTTGATGATCTTTCAATCCATGATACTTTAATAACTGATTATAAGTCATCACTTGTTGCTTTATCTCTTGTACACGAGGATCATCTTTAAAATGCATATAACCAGCAACAAATCGCCGATTTAATTCAACCACTTGTGATATAAGTAGCTTTCTATGCGCAGGTTTATATAAACGGCGACCAGCTTGAATGACCTTCAAAAATTGGAGACACAAGTTATTATTCTTTGTTAATTTAAATAAGTTATTAAATCTGAATTGAAGGTTTACCATTAATGTCTCATAATCAGGCGTATTGACAGTAACAGCAGTTAGTCCATTATATATTATATCTAACAATTTTCCGCACGCTTCACGTTTCTCTGTGCCACCTTTTTTGTATTTCTCGACAAGTTCCGGTGAAATCGATATTGGGGCTCCAAATTCGACCACAGCTCGCGAACGAAATTGATGTGCATGAAAATAATTAAGGCCTTAAACACGAAAAAATAATGAGTATAAAGTATATTATTCGGATAAGAATGTATACTTGATAAAAATCTTCCTACCGCAAGGAACAATTTTCACGTCAAGTTCAGGATTAGCTTCCATTGCACCCAAAGCCATAATCGTAACTCCGGCTATAAAAAAGATAATTGATAAAATCGTCTATACACGTAGAATGCTAGAGATTTTTCAAATAACCTTTTAGCGGCAAGATTTCCGTTCGATCGTGACTTCCTCCTTCGGGAAAAATTCCTATACAGTGACCAGCATTTAACGTAGCAAAAACCGATTTGTATACTTTACTTTGATCAATATGAGGAATGCATTTGTAAGGAGTGCCTTCAGGTTTGCCCAGCATCTCAATAGCAACTAAATCTTTAAATTCCTTTTTGATTATTAATTCCGTATCAGAGATAATCTGTATTACTTCTGATGATCCTCGGTCTTTTGGGAGTGCAATTTGATGACCGACGTGTAGTTGTTTGGTGAACGTTGTATCAATGCCAGTTATGCGAGTTGGTTCAGTCTTGCGATCTAATATTTTTATACGGCCTTTTCCGGGTTTGGCCATATCTTGGGGACGCGTCACTGGGACTGTGAATCAATGTTAGAAAAGTTCTCATAAAATATGCATGGATCTTCCTGCGATAATTGTTAAAAAAAGCTTACTGGCATTGAGAGCTTGTGCCATTGCCCCGATATATCTTCTTTTCATGGATTTTTCAGCAATTAGAAATGACACGCGTCTTTCGCAATGATTCATGAGAATTAAAGGATCGACAAACTATAACAATATTTACAAGCAATAAAAAAATACAAAAACATAGTGAATATATGCTACATCAAAAAAACTCTTTTTGATTTCAATAAAACGCAAATTTCCGATCTGGTGTCCAATTTGCATTGATCGATCATTCCTGAATGAGGATCACTATTACAGTTTTATAAGTTGCCCAAAAGAGAAGCTTATGTCTTCATTATTTGTCTTTTGAACAATTTTTTCTATAAAATTTACCTGGTTTGCATGAGGTGCTGCAACGAATATTATCGGTCCTTCTTTTGGAATTTTATGTGACCCGCGAGGCCTTATCTCGCGAAAAAAAACATCCAAAATTATACAGAAAAAGAACACCACCACATCATAAGCTTGCAGACTCATTTTTATCTAAAGTCCCAAAGCGAAAGGCTGGGCGTCGTTATTACTTTATAAGGGCAAAAGATGTAGTTTCTTAATCGAAAAACCAATAAAAATGCTACAAGCTAGATAGAATATTGAATGTAGTTTCCGAGAAATAATTAGGCCTCAATGGCGGAAATTTAAAAATTGATATACATATGCAAGTTTTTCACTATTTGTTACACTGCAGAGATCTTCGGAATACGTAACATAAAATTCTCGCTAAGTAATAAACAAAGTGAAAATGAACCATATTATAATGATGATGAAATTGATTTGATAGAAAAGTTAATTGTGGCTGATTATGACGCTGTCGATAGCTTCTGTGATTTTATTGGCGCCTCAATAGAATGGAGGCGAGTCTTCATTCTTCGGATGGAGAGTGAGTTCAATTTTTGATTAGAAATATTAAATATTTAGGATTGAATTTATGCATTTCCAAAGAGATAAAATGTAAATGGCACCATTTACAAGTTAAAGTTTAATCAAATAATCTTTCATTATTTTTTGCTTTAAAGAGAAGGACCGTCGGATTTGAGTTTCGGCGGGTGTCTTTCTCCGAGCTGGTACAAAAAGAAGTTGCTATGAATCTAGCGATGACGAGGAAACATCCAAAGAAAACGAACCAGAATCGTGAGGAAGGGAGAGTTCCACAGTGTCGATTGCTTCACTGAATTTTTTACCATTCATTAGCTCAAAATAATCATTATGTCAATGATATTTATTAAAGGAGATCTTACCCAATATGTCGTGCTGTTCTAACTTCGAATTTTGTCTACCAAATATGTTATAAATATTATGATAAATTAATTATCGACATCAAGTATAAACACAGTATCGTCGTTTATTTTTAGCTACCGGAGCTCGTTGTAATTCACTAGCAACATGTACTCGTTCACCCGCAACATCCAATAAATCAATTGTCAAAACTAAAGATTGCAATAAAGTCCAATCAAAAGATAAAAAGGTTAATTTGCATAACCACATAAACTCTTTCTAAAAAAAGTGATTTTTGTATAGAGGGTATGACTATATTGGGGTGTGACTTTATAGAGGTATGACTGTACATACACACATAAACACCGAGTACCTTAATTTGCAACTCGATTTATACTCCGGTCGACCAAAAATTCAAAGCTCTGCCACCTTGTGTGGTTATTTGTTGATAGCCTGAATCAACTTGGGGTTTTTTTATAGAGCCGTGATATCGTTATAAAGTAATTTTCTGATATGAACTCGATTCTTGTTAGGTTTATCATGATCAACACGGGGTATTTTTAAAATTTGAAATATTTCTAGTTTTAGCTTACTTTACCATAAAATTTGGCAAAATTTAATAATAAATTTGTATCGCAAATATAAATAACTAGGATGTCTCGAAAATAATTCTCTTGATAGAGGGTGCGGGACATCTAAACACATCACAAAAAATAGATAATTCTTTAAAAAGTAATAACTAAAAATAAAACAACTTATATTGATTAAAACTTTCCATAGTTAAAAATTATTTACCGTTACTAGTTTTTAAATTCAGCGCCGAATTTCTCTCCGATTCCCGGAGTTTCTCACAATTTCCGAAATTCTGAACTTTCACTTGATCATATCAAAAAAATCAAATGATCGATCAAAATAAAAATAAAGTTTAGTGAAAACAGCATACATAATTATAATGTTAATAATAATACTATAAATGCACATGTACATGGATCGGGAATACCTACTTTAATTTCGAGTGGAGTTACGTGAATTCGATATTTGCATATTTGGAATATTAGCGATTAATGTTGCCATTACGGACCAAATGTTCGTTTGATTGAATTTAATGATTTGCATTTATTGGCACTGGAAGTTTTCCCCTAACCACCGACCTAGTGCTAAATGACTATATCAGATAAACACAAATGTTGATGTTACCGAACCCGACCTAGAAGGAATCGAACCTTCACCAGTGCATTATTCGAACACTAGTGTTGATGCTACCCAGCTAGGTTCCGAGAACAGTCAATGAGGCCATCACCCAAAATGCTTCTTTGTCCCTTTTAGGGCACGAGTCCCTCTAGTAGATGATGAAGCCGTCCTAACCACCATTTAAAGACGGTAGTTTAGGTATTTATTTCTAAACTGGTAGCTTGAAATATTGCTATAAATCCGTCTATTGAACTGCCAGCTCAGTAGCTTGACATATCGGAGTCTTCGCAAATCGCCCGTTCGACCTATGAAAGGCACCGGCCATTAATCATGTGTGTGTGCCGATTCGTTCTCACCGGTATCAGCCTCCAATCGCAAATCGCCCCCATTTAAAAATGGGAAACAGCTTACGAAAGGGCACCGATGTCTTCGCAAATCGCCCATTTGGAAACAGGTTGGACATACGAAAGGCACCGGCCATTAAAATAAAATAATAACACACAACACTGATTCGTAGCCTGCCAATCACCAATCGTCCGGAAACAACCTACGAAAGGCTCTGATGACTTTGCAGAGATTAGGAAACCCACGAAAAGCATCGAACGTTATGTGTGTATGCTGATTCGTTCTCACTGATATCAGCCTCCAATCGCAAATCGCCCCCATTTGAAAACGGAAAACAGCTTACGAAAGGGCACCGATGTCTTCGCAAATCACCCATTCGGAAACAGGTTGTGACATACGAAAGGCACTGGCCATTAAAATAATAGCACACAACACTGCATCCCCTATTTCGTCGACGGGGATGGAAGCCTGGTTCTCACTGATTCGTAGCCTTCTAATAAATCGCAAATCGCCCTATTTGAAAGCGAGAAACAACCTACGAAAGGACACCGATATCTTCGCAAATCACCCATTCGGGAACAGGTGACCTGCGAAAGGCACCAGTGTTTTGCACCGACAGTATGCCAACTAAGCTACCGATGTCTTCACACATCACCCATTCGGGAATAGGTGACCTGCGAAAGGCACCAGTGTTTTGCACCGACAGTATGTCAACTAAGCTACCGATGTCTTCACACATCGCCCATTCGGGAATAGGTGACCTGTGAAAGGCACTAGTAGTCCTGTCAGTGTTCCGAAGTAGTCTACGAAAAGGCACCGACAGTATGCCAAATAAAAACTGATTTATTCCCAGTAGTCTGCCAGTATCTTCGAAAGGCACCGACAAAGTAACCCTTTCACAAAATAGCTACCACAATAATACTGTTGTGTTTGCTCATTAAATATGTTCTCACAGCGTAACAGTAATCTGTTTTTACCTACACACCTATTTCTCACGCAAATATATCATTAATGTCTAATGGAATTAAAAGAATCCTAAATAAGGGGGGTTTCTTAAAGCAAGGCAAGCCGTCAAAATTAACCACATACGTATATCTGTTCGCATTCTCTACTTTGTAAGTAAAAGCTTTGCTAATTGTCATTTGCTTCTTTAAATATTATCTTGCATTCACCCTCCTTTCTAAGATTACTTTTGCTTGCTAAAATAATGATTTTTGTCTTGATATAAGTTTTATAAATCGGGAGATCATTTATTTTATCGTTTGTTTCTTTATACAATACAGATCTCTTTCATGATTCAAAAATGTTCTTATTTTTGATCGATAATTAGGTGAAAGAGCATAATTTTACATAATATTGCAATATTGATCTCTTCCTTTATTAAAATTGCATGTTGTATAGTATCAGTTATTTAGGTGGGAGTGGGAGTGTTTAGAAGTTTGGGAGAGTATAGACTTAATAGTACAATCGACTTTCTCTATAATAAACCTTTTTATAATGAACTCTGAATATAACGAACTTTAGATTTTTAAATTTTATATTAGTTCATTATAGAGAGAGTACTGAACTCTAGAAAATATAGTGATTTTATTTAATGAACTTTTTTTCCTAACAGAACTATCAGTTCATTAGATGGAGAGATTATTGTGTTTTGGGTGAATTGTTTAGAATTTATGATTTGCGTCAGGTTTGAGGATTCCTTCATTTTTCTACTTCAATATTATTACATCTCTATGTTTTTTTCTTTTGACAAATTACAATAATTATAATTCTTCGAGCCATTCTTGTATTACAGGCTTAATTTTGTTTTTAAATGATTATTTATTAATATTGAATATATGATTAAAAAATAAATTAAACAAATATTGTTGTGTTGAGATCATTACACAATTCAAAGCAAATAATATTGCCATTTATAAATAATTACAATTAGGAGTATTGTAATCTGAACATTTGTTGCAGTAATTTTGTACTTGACAATATTAGTTAACAAGATAAATTGAATAAAAGAATTAGATCAAAATAAGAATGTATAAAATTTTATCAAATTTTCTTTGTTACTAATAATATTTTCAGGATGACCCTTATTGAATCAGAAAGATGATATCTAAATAATGATATATTTTTGAATCTAATCTATTCTCCCATCCAATTATACATCTTTCATACAAAAATTTAAAATATTCAAGTGAAAAATAAACTCTACTTGCCTATAGATACTTCAACAGCTGTATTAATTTGATACTAAAATTCAGTACTAAATGGAAAAGAAAAAAGTTTTACAGAACACTGGATACATTATCTGGAACAAGAAAAACTTCAGGATTTATATTGGCAATAGATATTTTTTTAGTATAAAAATTAATGACAACTTCTTTTGTCATTATTTCTCTTTTTTTATCAAGTTCTGAGATCATATGATATGTGTCTTATAAAGAAAAAGAAAAAATAATGGATGAAATAAAAAATAAAAAAATGATAAAATTGAGAGATTTTTTTGAAGGGGAAGGAGGTAAAAAGAAATGAAAAAAAGAAATTAGAACAAAATATTCAATAATAAAAACAAATAAAATAATTCATTTACCAATAAGCTCATACAAAACAGAGATTCTTGTTTAAGTTCACTATGATATAATTTGGGAAAATTTGTAAAAGAGAAAAGGTGAGTGCTGAGTGCTCACTTTTTTGAATTCTTCAAATAATTTCATGAAATATATCTTGTATTTGCTTATAAAGAACAATTAGTTATAGCATTTTTAAAATTTTTAACGTAAACTTTTGTGAAGTCAGCTAATCAGATAATTTTTATTCTTGTCTTACAATTTATAGGATCTCGCTTCCATGATATATGAAAATTCTTAGGAAAGATACTAACTTGACATTTATTCAATTTTTGGAATTTTGAAAGTTTAGACACATATGTCTTCCACTCATCTTTATTTGATAATACATTTTCATTAATTTGAGTTTAAATGTCATCAATAAAAGTTCAAATACTTTTTCTATGTTGAAAAAATATTTCAGAAATTTGACATAATAATAAGTAAAAATCAGCAAGATAAATCTAAATGTAGTTAGAGATGACAAAGATATTATAGAAAATAAATGTATTATTAAATTAAAGAATTAGACATAATAATAATTTTATTATTGAATCAAAGAAAATAGAAACAAATCATTATATTTTATATTAAAGAAAATACACAAAATTCATCATGTAATTTATATTAATTAAATATATAGAAGAGAATTTATAAATTATATATCACATAAGAAATTCAGAAGATCCATAAATTATAAAAATTATGTCAAGATAAAAATTATTATTTTAGCAAATGGAAGTAATTTTAGAAAGGCGGATGAAGCAAGATAATATTTAAAGAAGCAAATAACAATTAGCAAAACTTTTATTTACAAAGTAAAGAATGCGAACAGATATACATATGTAATTAATTTTGATTGAATATTTTTTAATCATGTGCTACAAATCATGTGTTACAAATCATATGCTATAAATCAGATGTGACATTTGGTGGTTAAGCTAGCTAAATGACTTGTCTTGCTTTAAGAAACTCCCATTTTTGGATAATTTATCACTATTGAATATTCATTTGTAGCTGGATTTTTAGTTATTTAATAATAATTTAGATTACTCCATCTGTATAACAATTCTGTCACATTCATTTATTAGATTGTCTATATCTATATCTATATCTATATCTATATCTATATCTATATCTATATCTATATCTATATCTATATCTATATCTATATATCTTTATCTTCACTTTTAACTGCATAATGTTATCATAGTAATTTTGTTCCTAATTTCTACATGAATATCTTTTCATAGCTATCTTATTAAATCCTTTAATTCCATAATTTCCTTTGATATTTCCTACATGTTAATCCTTCCATTATATTGTAAGCCAAATTTAGAAATATTTCTACGAGAGCATCAAATCCACTTTGTTTCTGGGCAAGTTCGACCCGTAATTATTTGCGTTTGGTGAATTTTCGGATGTGACTGACTTGCCCACAATGAAAGCAAAAACTTGTTACTGTCACTCCACGCCCTTTTACTCGGCGACCAAAAAATAATCAAAGTTCATCGATCTCATTTTATTGATAACCCACGCCCTTTTAGAGCGAGAAAAAATAAAAACACGACTAGAATACTAGTCGATACATAAATGGTTGTCGGACAACAGGATACATAATAGTGGGACCGAAAGGTCTCCCACAACAGGATAAATAATAGTGGGACCGAAAGGTCTCCCACAACAAGATACATAATAATGGGGACCTTTCGGTCTCCCAATATAATCATGGATCAGTTTATTATAGATCCTGTTTATCATATATCCTGTCACCACACTATTACTACAACTACAGGATACTATTACTACAGGATACTATTACTACTAGTTCCCTACTTCCCTATCTATACCATCTTCCGTTCACGTTCATCTTCCATTGCCACCTAATCTTGGCTCGATGATTTGATTTGCATGTATTGTAGCATTAGCGCCTTAGCGCCTTAGCACGATTTAACGTTCCGTCATAAATCTAGAATAATAAATTAAAAAGCATAAGTAAGAATATACATACACTTCACCCAAGTCTAATAGGTCGACCTAATCATGCTTCAAATGTCTAATTATAACCTCACATCTATAATTCAGATTACACAATGAATCTCACATGATTCAGATTACGATGAAACCTCACATAAATGATTCAGATTACAATTAATGACATTCTAACCAAGACTTCAAGGAGCGTGACCATGAAATAAACTACCCAGTGAGTTAGACCCACCTTGTTTGATTTGCGTTAGCACCTCCGCACGATTGAGCTTTGAGTTGCTTAGCTTAGTAGCTGAGCTTGCTTTAATTTCGAGTTGAATTCCGTGAATTCGATGATTTGATTTGCGTTGCAATCTTTCTTTATTTATCTGAAATAAGACAAAAAAGCAAGTTAACAATCAATCTCTCGAAGAGGTCCCCCTAAAGTACATGCAGCGGGAGTAACGGAGACGGACATAGAAGGTTAATGAACGGTGCAAACAACGCTGCTAACGGTGCTACACAGCTGCGGAAACAACACGATCGTCAATTAGACGGCATTTCACAACCTCCGCCCTGATCACTAGCATAACAACCATACCCATGGTATGCTATACCGTGTGAAACACTGCATCTCTAGTTGCACCCGCATAACCTACATGCTGATCGCTGAACACGCTCCTATCTATGTAACAGCAATTGTACACCCACTACACAAACAATAACGGAACTCCTCTCGAAACAAATCATTAAGAAACCAGGAAGCCTAGTTACCTTAGATCGAAACATTTGCATCGCCCAATGCTTCCTTGACCCTTTTACAGGCACCCCCTGCCGAAGCAGAGAATAATGAAATGCCCCTACACCCGCATTTCATCCATGAAGCCGTCCATCTGCCGATGCTTCCTTGACCCTTTTACAGGCATCCTCCGCCGAAGCAGAGAATAATGAAATGCCCCTACACCCGCATTCCATCCATGAAGCCGTCCGGTAGCAACCGTTCCTAAATTAACAAAGTTAAGAATACATTCACTTTCAATTAATCAATTCAACACAAATAACTTTTAATTTGAAAGTTTATATTCTTTATTAGTTGGTCTACACATAGTGATTACATGTACTATATACATTATACTATATAACTATATACACATAAACACCATTATCCCTCTCT